CACACACACACACACACACACACACACACACACACTGTCAGGCTGTGGGGTGATGCTGGTGATGCGTTCAGGATCATGTTCAGGACTCACGGTGTTTCCAGCATCACTTTACACACACTGGCCATCGTACTCAGACAGTCCGTCGTGTTTTCGAGGGGAACATCTGGATTCTGCAGCAGAACAATAAAGTTTGATATTCACATAATAGTGTGAGATTTCACAGAAGTAAAAATACTCCATTATAAGTACAGGATATTACAGTTACATCCAGATTCAGTAACTTCCAACATAAATTCATTACTGAGTAAGAAATAAAAATATGATGTTTGGTTCATTCAGTAAAAATAGTTTTTTCATAAAGAATCAAACTGAATAAATTGAATCCAGGGAGAAATGAATCGATGAACGAACTCACGTCTGACACGAACTTTGACGTGGCGTCACTTAGCGTCTTCAGCATCGGCGTGGCGCAGGCGTAAAACAGAGACATCCGATTGGCCAGTTCGTTGTTAACCTCGTTACTGGCATCGCCCTGAGAACGTTGCCACGGAAACCCAGTCAAGATAAGATATCCAGACGAATGTGAACAAATGCAGCATCCTTCATTCTGTTTTATTTTTCAATCTGTTTCCTCGTGTAATATTTTTGACGTGTGTCGTACGCTGATAATGAAGCTGAATGTGTGCGTCTCACCGACAGGTTGTTGATTCGCATGCGGCTGATGGTTCGGCGGTAGTAACTGAAGTCGTTCTGGATGGCGGGGTTGGTCATCTGAAACAGAGACAGCAGAGGATGCTGGGATGTGGGATGCTGTGAAGTTGGGGTGGGGGGTGGGGGGTAGGGGGTGGAGGTCACAGGGACCGACCTTGAGCTCGTCGAAACGCAGCGTGAAGTGCATGATGTGAGCGAACTGACGAGCCAGAGCCTGTTTCTGCTCCAGATGCTGAGTGGGAGTGGAGCCGGAGCTGGTGAGGACGTCGAGGAGACACTGCAGACTGGACTCTGACACGAGAAAAGACAAATCCACTCAGCGTGTTTAAAAGACGTAAAACAACCGGAGCTGGTCACAGATGATTTTGACTGAAACATCCTGAATCGATAAGTTTGACTGAATATAAACGAATGTAATAAAACGGCTCCAGCTGCAGGTGATGGTGTGAATTTCCTGCTTCCTAAGTGTGAGTTTTGTCCTGATGGTGGCAGTAAAGAGCTCAGTGTGTGTGTGAAGGCAGCGAGTGAGAGATGTGAACAAGATGGACTGATCTCAGCAGGAGGTTAGCTGTGTTCAGGTTCTCACCGAGCTTCTGGGAAAACTCATAGAAGCTTTTGAGTTTGGCGACCAGAGGAACCACGGCTGACCACGCCTTCTCCTGCACACGCTCCACGCCGGGACTCTGGATGGCCTGAGTGCACACACACACACACACACACACACACACACACACACAGGTCAGCTAAATAATTTGGTTGGCCCCCTGGTGTCTGGCTGCAGTATAGCTCATACACCTCCTCCATGTTAGCAGATGGGACATGTCAATCAAAGTTTGTCGAAGCTGTTTGTGTCACTCAGCTCGTTCTTCTCTCTCTGATGTTTGTTCCTGTTTCTGATCAGTTTGGTTTAATCAGTTATTTGATAAAAACAAGACGTCATGATTGACAGCTGACACTGACTCACGATTGGTCAAAAGCATGTATGGGCGGAGCCTTGATTCCACAGCTCCACTCTACGATCACTACAGACTCTGACGGTCAATGACGTCATCGGCACCAAATGGCAGAGTTTGTATCTGAGATGTTTTAGTTTCATGTTTGTACAACAGGAGGAAGTGGAGATGAGTCGTCCATCTTTATTGACTGTCCATGGCGTTAATCGGGTTTAGACCTGAGCTTGTTCGGACCAAACATGACACAAGGACTTGACGGGTCCGTTCCGCTGTGTGTTACCTGTCGTATCTCCTCTCCCGCTCCTCTGTACGCCTGCAGGTCATCCAGGATCACCCGGGCCTCCATCAGCACCTTGTTCACCGACTCCCACACCGCCGTCTCCGACTGTGAGGGCTGAGCATCTGAAACGAGAGTCACAGGGTCGAGACCACAGTGAGACTGCGGACCTCTCAATGCAGGAGGCGTGGCCTCTGGACAGGTCTGTGCATTTAAGTTCAGATTTTGTTGTGCAGGTAAAATATAATTTTAAAAAATGAACTTGGATTTCCTTCTAAATGTTTGAAGCTGATTGTTTAATGACTTGGACGTGTGTGTGTGTGTGTGTGTGTGTGTGTGTGTGTGTGTGTGTGTGGTGGGGGGGTAGAATTAGGTTCAGGCTAGAGTTAGACATTTAGTCTGGATGGTCAGGGTCAGGGGTCATTAAGTGTCCTCACTAAGAGAGAAGCACAAACGTGTGTGTGTCTTACTCTCGAAGTCCAGGAAGAAGTTTCCACCATTGTTGTCGATGTCTCTGGTCAACACTTTGATCAGGTTCCCCATGCTGTCAACACAGAGGACCACACGTGATTTACCTTTGATTATTTATACATATATATATTATATATTATAATAATATACTATTATATATATTTACACATGTAAACCCTGAAAGGTCCAAAACAGTTTGAAACACTAGGGGGCGCTATGAGCCCTGGTCAATACAAATGTTTAATATAAATGTAGATTTTTCTATAAATGCAATGTTCACAGCAACATTAATGTTTTTCATCAAAGATCAGTTAAAGTATTTAGTTTGTAGATAAAAACACACTGAAGTTCAGTATCTGTGTAATTATACCTCAGAACTCAGACCTCCACCTGTTTTACTTTGTGACTTTCAGAGCTGCGACAAGAGTTCAGATCATTAACTGCAGTAACAGAACTGGACTCTCGTGGACTGACTGCAAAGACTTTCAGTCATTTACACAAGAACACAAGAAAATAAAAAGTCTGAGAGTTTTCCAGCTGCACTTTTTCAAATCCTTTCTCATGTGCAATCTAACGCCTTCAGGATTGTGTGTGTGTCATTTCAAAGAAGATCTGATCTCTGTAACGTCTCTTCACAATAACAACACTTTAACCACAAACAGTATTGTTCACACAAGCATCTCTGCACAACGTTCACAGCAGCATGTGACAAACACACACTGATCCGTTCTGCTGTCCAGTTTCTGTGCAGCAAAGAGAAGAAAAACTCTGAGGGGACACCAGGAAATCTCCCAGGTCTGACTGAAGTCATCAGTGATCTCTGTCCACACAGGAGGAAAAACACTCTGCAGCTGAGACACAGTGAGACACTGTGAGACACAGTGAGACACTGAGACACAGTGAGACACACTGAGACACTGTGAAACAAAGTGAGATACTGTGAGACACTGAGACACTGTGAGACACAGTGAGACATAGTGTCTCAGTGTGTTTCACTTTGTTTCACACACTGAGACACAGTGGGACAGTGGGACACTGAGACACAGTGAGACACTGAGACACAGTGAGACACAGTGAGACACAGTGAGATACTGAGACACACTGAGACACTGAGACACAGTGAGACACAGTGGGACACTGAGACACTGAGACACAGTGAGATACTGAGACACAGTGAGACACAGTGAGACACAGTGGGACACTGAGACACTGAGACACAGTGAGACACTGAGACACTGAGACACTGAGACACAGTGAGACACTGAGACACTGAGACACAGTGGGACACTGAGACACTGAGACACAGTGAGACACTGAGACACTGTGAGCAGCGTCTTCTGGTTGGAAAAAGTGAAAAGAGGAAGTGATGAAGTCGCTGAAAGTTTGAGCTAAATTTAAAAAGAGAGGAAGTAACTCAGACTGAGCTCAAGTCGAGCTCAGACGAGTTTCTGCGTTTTTCTTCCTCCACAACAAGAGATTCATCAAACATGACCAACACCTGTTCCTTCAGTCCAACAGAACGACGGAACACGGACAGAAACAATCGTCTCATCCTCACTGATGACACTCACATTCATACTTCAGGTTTTTAGGGACTTCTGTGATTTTGATTCATATTTTCAGCGTCTCGTCGTTTTCTGCAAGTTTCAGGTTTACTTTCATTGTTATTCATCCTCCTGTGAAGTTTACGACACGTTTGTCAAAGTGTGAAAAGTCGTGCAACAGAACATGCAACATATGAACACATGACATAAAGACAGAACGAGGCTGCGGCGGTGGTGCTGCATGTGACGACTGCAGCTAACGTGTGATCATCTGCATGTAAACACAACAAAATAAATCATAAATAACACATTCAATTCAGGGGTCATATATACTGTGACCTTCAGCTCCATCAGAGAATTCAAAACATTTCTGTCAACACACTTTATACATCTGATCTGAAAACGTGTCAGAGGTT